CGGCTGTCGGAGTTTGCTGCGGTTAGTCTTCGTTAACTGGCCAAAAGTTGCCTTAGAGAGGCCGTCGTTAATTATTAGCCAAACACTTGGGAAATCGTGCAGTGTTTCTTCAAAGCCTGGGTGGCTTGTGATTTCGGGTAGCCCTCTTCAGAAAGAGGGTTTGGTTTCGCCGGCCTCAGGTGCAGTGTTTTGTCCATGTGTGTAAGCAAAAGCTGACTGACTGATTTTTCTTTCCCTGAGCAGCTGAAAGCTGATGTGGTTCCAAAGACAGCGGGTAAGGCAGCATCTCCAGGATCTCACACTGTAAGGTTGTGATTTGCAGGAAAAACATTCTGTTACCCTTTGGGAGCTACTTCCATGTTCCTTCCTCACTTGTTAAATAGAAAAATATGACCTAAATCTTGTCCAGAACCGTGCTAGTGACGTTAGGGTTTCCTGTAGTTTTTTTCAGATAGCTTTACTTCATCGTTTGCCTGCAAGGACGGAACAGCCCATGTGTTGGGCTACCAGTGATGGGTAAATGTGTTTAGACGCCCTTTAGTTTTCATTAAAATCAAATCCCGAAACAAATAGGAAAGGGTAGACCAAAGGGATGGTGTCTCTTAGTCTGCTAGTAACATACACAGTTTTGTTTTTCTTGTCAGCAGTTGATCAGTGAACTTCAGTTACGAAGTTAGGTTTTTTGTTTTGGGTTGTTTTCCCTTCATGTGCTTCCTTCCTCATTGCCTTTAGTGGTCCTGAGAAATTCAGAGTTTGGTTTCAGTTCCTAGCAGATAAATATTCTAAGAGAAAAATATCATGTTTGCAGTTAATTTAGAGAGTGAAAGCTTAAAAGGCAGAAAATGACTGGTTTTTTTTAACTTAAGATATAGCAGCGAAATGAAAGGGAGAAGAGAGGGAGAAGGGTTGCATTTGTACCTCGTTCTGAGGCTAAACAGAAGTTTTGTTTCCAGAGCTTTAGGCCAAAGTTTTTTCAAAGATGAAAATAATTTAAAAAACAACAATGCCTTAAAGGTGTAATAAGCTTTTTAAAGAATATAAACTGAGGACCTAATTAACTTAATTGAGTTTGAGTATATCGAATGTAATGTGCAGCAACATACTATTTTATGCTTTGTTTTCACAGAAAATTTTAGAGCTCTTTGTACTGGTGAGAAAGGTTTTGGGTATAAAGGATCCACGTTTCACAGAGTGATTCCTTCGTTTATGTGCCAGGTAATGGATTTTTTTTGCTATGAAATGTGTATATTTATGTGTGTGTGTATACACACACATATATATTCTAGAACCTAGAAAATATATATATATATAGACTAGTAGTAACATCTGCTCTAACCTTTGCTAATTACAGAATAAGGAAGTGATAACGTGGCTTCATTTCTGACCTTTTTGCTGTGGCTGTAGCATATCGCTTGTACAAGCAAATGCAAATTCTGTGGGAGTGGCTTTAAAAAAAAAGGGCTTAAGACTCTGCTTTTTTTTTAAATAGCAATATACTTTATTATATCGGCAAATAGTCTTCCCTATATTGGCTTATTTGGCAAAGTGGCACTTGCTTAGGAGAAGCATATGTGCAGAATTACAGTCAACCTTGTGCTGTAAGTGAGCTAAAAAACCAATGTTTCCATTCTTTATTCTTAGTAGCATAATCTGTTTAGAGCAGACACGTGTTTAAAAAACACTTTTTTTCTGAACATCTCCCTAAAGGGGAAGGGAGCAGAGGGGGAGAGCAAAGGGTAGGTTGGGGGGGATATGTTTTTGGGATGGCACACCTAAAGAGGATTTTGTCTGAAAAAGTAATGCTGATTGAAAAGGTGAATCTTTCTAAATTACTAAATAAAGGCTATACATGACAGCTTTTTTTTTTTCCTGAGGGGGGGAAAAAAGCATTTTTGAAAGGCGTGGGGTTTTTTTGTTTGATTATTTTTTTTTTAAAACCACGCTACTCTTGGCAGGTGGGCAGGGTTTCTGCCACTGTAGTGCACCAGATCATATAGTTGCTGGTAGTCCTGTCTTCCCTTAAAAGAAGCTACTTTTAGACAGTGTTGCATTGTAGGATGGCTTTGAAAAGAGCTTTAATTGAAGGCCACAGTAAACATGTTTTCTTTATTAACTGGTGACCTTGATCTCCCTGTTTGTTTGTTTATTTAAAGCTAAAAATAGAGCACTCTGAACAAGAGGCCTGTTATCATACTATGACCTATTTATAATAAGAGAAGGAGGACAAGTGTGCTGGAAGAGACTTGCTTTTTTTGCTTTTGAAATGCAAACTGGGTTTTTGTAGTGGTGAGAAAGAGGCAAAGCGTAGAAGTCTTACTGGGATAATATTTAAATATATAAATATATAAATCCTAACCTCAGTTCTGTTAGTTCAGTTCATACTTACAAAGTTATATGTAAACAAGTCGTCATTGCCTCCCTGTTTTGTTCCCACAAATGGACCTCAGATGAGGATATTAGGTGGCTGATTCTGATATGATGAGATGATGAATTAATGTTTAACCACTCTGTAGTCATTACAGAAGTGGAATTACTGTCACAGGTTTCAAATATTTTAAAGCAAGAGTAGTCAGGAGAGGCCATTCCACTTGTTGAGGTGGAGTCTTAATATGATTCAGGCAGTTGGTATGCCCTAATTGGAGCTGTTGTGTACAGGACCTGACAATTCAGATGCCTCCGTGTAACACACAATATACAGAGCATGCCTCTGGGATTGCATAGGAATTGCTAAAACATCACATGCAGCAGATTGCCCAAGGTGAGAATGGAAAGGTGAGCACCCCATGAAACAAGGGATGAGTTGGTGTTTGCCAGCATGGGTGGTGGAAAGGAGAGAGCAGAGTGCTGGAAGCAGTCTCTGGTGGTAGCCTTCAGAGCTGGCTGTGATTGTTTGTTAGTTTTGTGAGTCTACTGAACCCTAACTGGTTGCATCTATCCCAGTGAGCTGTGTGTAGTTGCAGGGCGTTAAAACAAACCACCTTGGACATAGCACAGGGTAATGAGGTAGATGAGAAGAATCTACCTCAACAGTTTTTGTATTGCTGAAGAAAGATGTGCTGCATGAGGGCCTGATTTTGTAGCTTCTCTTTGTCAAGAATGTCCTCTTCAGTTAAATCCTTAAATTAAAGCAACAAATGTGAAAGTTAGGGATTATGATTCCCAAAGATCCTTAATCTTCTTCAGTTATCTGTCAGTTCCCCTCTATTGGTTTGTGCAGGGCTATCCAATGTGGGAAAGAGAATCCATCCTGCTGTACTCAGCTGCCTGTGTCTGCGCACTTACCATAAGGGGAGCCTCAGTGACTACTCAGTGCTGCTTTGTCAGCTCTCAGTACTTAAATAGCGAAAAGAAGAAAGAGCAAATAAAATAGTAACTTTGGAGATCCTGGATAAGATTTATACCAATGGGAAAGGAGGGGTGGGGGAGGAGGGAGACTTGCATGTCGGTTTAAATTTAGATGTTTTTGCTGTGAGGACGTAGGTATTTCCTAAGAATACTGATGATTTTGTTGCATCGCATGTGGTAACAAGAGAAAGAGCACAAGAAGGTTCTTGTAGGAGTTGTGGATGTGAATGGAAGAACATCAGCAATTTATTGTTGCAGCAGAAATTTATTTTTAGCTTGATTATGCCTTCATCTGCTCAAATGATTTTAAATTTTCTTGTGGCCATACTGATTTTTAATCTGAGACTTATGGAAATTTGCTTATTTTATTACTTAGAGCAGGTGATTGCAATCAATGGCATAAGTTCTGGTGTAAAGTAATTCCTGTATGCTAGTAAAGTTAATAGTCATTTCTGTTTCAGGGTGGTGACTTTACAAACCATAATGGGACAGGTGGAAAATCCATTTATGGCAGCAGATTTCAAGATGAAAATTTCCTACTTAAGCACGTAGGACCTGGTAAATAATCATATTCTTTCTACCTTCTGATGACTGTAACTTATAATGATGCATTGTCATAAAGATGTATTTAAAAGAATAGATGTTTTAGATAAGTGGGGTACTTTAACTACCAAGATATTACCGAGGTTTAGCATCACTAGTGTGGCTAGTGGCATAAGTCAGCCTGCATTAGGTGACACTGCTGCTTTTTGTTTGACTATGCAAAATAAAGTATAAGCGATTTATTTTACTTAAATTTTACAAAGGTGAAATTATTGCTTTTATCGTCATCTTCCATAAGTCAGATTTCTTATCTACTACTTAGCGCAGGCAGGTCCTTTTAAGCTCAAGTTAAATCTGGAAGATATAAGGGAAACTCATTCGTAATAACATCTAATTGAATCTGTAGCCTGATTTGGATCGTTCCTTTGTCATTGCAATAAGCTACTGCTACTGTTGAGCCACAGTGAAGGTGACCTGTTATTAATCAAACTCAAGACTTGGTGCAAGTAACTACGCTGTCAGCATTCTTGCTATGGAGAGCATCAGAGGGGCTGGGGTGGAGGGAACGGTAAAAGGCAAAAAGGAGGTTGGCCCTAGAAATCAGCTGGAAACAATGTGACTTCTTTATGTCCATTGTGAGCTTGAATGTGTAAAGGAAAATTGTCTTCTCCATTGCAATTAGACCAATATAATAAGCTGCTGCTGCTGTTGTTCTAGGTGTTCTTTCAATGGCCAACGCAGGACCCAACACAAATGGATCTCAGTTCTTTATTTGCACTGCAAAAACTGACTGGTAGGTTCTTAGCTTGGCATATATTGGCCTAATGAATTGATGCCTGGATCCAGAGGGTTTGGAGGGTTTTTTGGTTTGTGCTTTTTATTTTCCACATTGCTCAACTTACAAAGGAAACTGAATTGTTTGGTGCAACTTGAGAGAAGGACTGAGAGGGTAACAAGTTGCTTTACATGCAGTTAATATTACTCTAGGCACAGGAAAGACCCTATTCAATGTTGTCTCAACTTCCCCTCCCCTTTTTGTGGGTGTAGTTTTATGCATCTGCCTTAGTTTACCTCCACTTATTTCAATGCTGCGTCTACTGATGTCAGATTTTCCATGTTCTAAGTATAAAACGGAACCCAGTGAATCTAATGGTCTGGTACCAAAATTTAAAAAAAAACAAATTTAAATAGTTACTGTGAGGTCCATGACCTTAAATCTGTTTCCTGAGATTCATTCTAAAAAACACATATTTCAGACGGAAACTGAAGGTACGCTATGCTGGCGTAGTGTTTGCAAGGTTTTTAGAAGCACACTTGTAGTATTAGGGTGGCATTCAGAGGGGTCTAACTGACCCGGCTTATTGCTGCATCGTAGCTGCACGTAGAATATTCTTTGTTCATTCTGCCATCCGGAGCAAACTGGGAAACTCTACGCAATGGGTCTCACGCAAAACAAGTCCGCTGTCCCTCATAAGGCTACTCTGGTCCAGAGCTAAAGCTTTTTCGTGTCACTTGTAAAGCAGTTGTTCTTTTCCCATAATGGGAGTTGATCAGTAGGTGAGCACTCTGAAAGGTCTGCTAATATCCTTTCACTGAGCTTAGTTTGGTTTAGGCTTTCTATTGTTGTTTTAAGTAAAACTGCCTTTGTTATCTCTGTTACAGGCTAGATGGCAAACATGTTGTTTTTGGGCATGTAAAGGAAGGAATGGATGTTGTGAAAAAAATTGAGAGCTTTGGCTCCAAAAGTGGAAAGACCTCCAAAAAGATTGTCATAACTGACTGCGGCCAGCTGTCGTAACCTGTTGCCTACCATTCAGGACAACTTAGATACTGTGAAAAATGAATCGTAAAAAAGCATTTCTGATCCCATAAGCAGCATCTTTGGGGCTGTTTAACTTGGGATTTTTTTTAAACATGTAACTGGGCTATTTAACTTGGTCCTGCTTTTATACTTCTATTGAATTTTACTGATTTAAACCAATAACCAAAACACATTTTAACTGAGCCACTTTGGTAGTGATTGCTGCACAGATTTGATAGCCCTATTGCATTTTGAAAGAAGTGCAGTTACCGGACGCATATGCAAATACAGTGTCAGTATCACTCTTAGTATTTGGATGATTCAGATGTTGGAATCAGCGGTGGAGCTGGCAACTACGTGTAACTGGTCAACATAAATTGAGAAGTGGCATGTTTCCTTTGGTGCTAATAAATACCTATTCTGCTGTATGTCTCATATTGGAAAATTATGTTGGCTAGTGTTCTCAAGGCTATTTGCAACAAGACTGACACATGTTTTCTCTCTTAAGGCTCCATTTGAGCCCACATTTAAACTAGTAGAATTAACGTGTGTAGTGTTCCTGGAGTGTTTTTACGCTCATTTATGTAGTCTCAGACCACTGGTACCTTTAAAACTGAAGTTTTTCCATATCTACTTCAGTGGAGCAATTTGACTTTTGGGTTAAGTGAATTGCTTTAAGTTGAATTAGCCTACTACCACAGCTCTACCTGTTGATAAGACCGCAAACTAGCCAAAACTAATCATGGAACTTTTTCTAATGGAACTGTGAGCTAACCTGAAGTCCTGTTCTGCTCTAAGGTCTGATTCTGAAGAATACAGTGCAGTTCTCAATAGCAGGCTGTTTTAGCACCTTCAGAATAAATTCAGGGTATAATGAGTCTACTTGAATGTGAAATAGGCTTGCTCTTTTTGTCCTATTGGTCCTGTGGAGTGAGCCCAGCTTGGGAATTACTTGGGTTATGACTACTTATGCCTCATAACAGAAGCTCATAGGGCCTCATTGGCACAGCAGAATCGTGGTGGTTGATCCACAAGAAAGAATGGATCAGATAAACACATTTCATTTATGTAAACTACTATTATCTTATGTGGAGCCCTTGAGCAATAATAGACATTAGAACTTCACAATATCGCTTATAGAATCACTGAAGCTGTAAAGTATTAATTCTGTTTTGGGGGGGGGGGGTGTGATAACGACTCTTGAATGCTTTCATATGATTCTCTTCCTGTTACTGAAAGAGAAAAATAAAATGTGAAGGCTGTTTCCAAATGTGAGTTTACTTCCGTTGCATTCTACTAATACCTGGATTCAAATATATTTTGTATGGGAACTTTTTCCACTGAGATCTGCATACTGCTGTGTGCAAGGTACTATTCCAAGTGCAATTTTACAGAAAATGGAATTGAAAAGCTTCTTTTTCTTCCTGCTATAGTTGTTTCATCTTTCTTTGTAGTAATTTTGAAATGTTAATTTGTTTTTTTTCCCATCAATATTGGTGTAACTGATTTGTGTGTGTGTGTTCTTAATTTGTATATGGGAAGTAATTAAAAATGATTCTATCACAAAAAAGCCTATTCCTTTCTTAAATAAGACTTTTTCCACTTGTTTGAAAGTGGGAGTGTGAGGATCTGAACCACACTGCATTTACTCAGGTTATTCTGTTTTATCCACTTTGCAGTGGGTCTGATCTAGTGCTATTCAGAAGCTGTATTGTCATGCCACAAATAGAGCTGTCAAGAAACAGCATAATGGTACCATGCCTTGCCTGTCAGTAGTAAATCTAGAGTTATTTGGTATATGGATAGTGGTTTAGGTTTTGAGACTAGGTCAGACAAGGAAATAGTCAATCAATTTGTGTAGATTGACTGGGGGGGTGTCTTTTTTAATTTCTCTTGTAATAAATGACATTTTCTTTGGAAAATGGATTCTTGCTGTATGGTTGAAGATGATATTAAGAATTTGGCATCTTCCTATCAGAGCTATTTGTAAATTGGAGAGTCAAATGCAATATGCTTTGCTGCAAAATAGTTCACAGAACTTCTTGTAAAGCCTTAAATATTCAAGTATCATGTATGGCATGATGGTGTGTTGTACTTAGTTATGGCTTTTGCTGACAAATTTACGCCTGAACTTCTGAAGTGTCAAAGTTAGTATTTTCTGCCAGTGCTTCTGGTCCTAATTAGAAAGTAGATAGCAATGCAGAGTCAGAATCACTATGACTAGCAACACCAGAAAAAAAAAAAATACACTTGGTGTGCCTCAGTTCCAATTGTAATTGGGCTGGCTTCGATTTCCTGATACTAGTTTTCTGTGTACTTTGCCAGAGGAAAGCCTTTGCTGCCCAGGTACTTAAAGCAGTGAAACATGACTCTTAATATTTAAAAAAAAAAAAAAAACCTAAACAGGTCAATCAAAGTGTTGGGGGTGGGTGTTGGGTTTTGTTTTTTCTCCTCCCCTGTGAAGTATTTTCTCTGAACTGGCTTTTTCTGGGGTTCTGTTCCCACTCCCCACCCCGAGTAGCTTTATTGCAGCAAGTCGCCCGAGCTGTATTCCAGAAGCCTTGCGTGCTGCAGCATGGCAGGGGGCCCCCCGTACTGCAGTATGCCCATGGGGTACGGCAGGGCTCGATTATCCTCCGTGTCCAGGGTGGCTGCGGCCGTCAGGTGAGCCCACTTCACGTGCAGCCCAGAGGTGGGATCGTCGTGCATGGGTGTGTGCCCAGGAATCTGCCTTCGCCAGTAATTCCTTTCCTGGCTCTACGTTTCTGCAGCATCCTGAGTTCCTGTCTCTCTCCTATTAGTCCTCGTCTCACAAATTGCTACTAGTAGAAGAGGGGTTTCCTTCTGCAGCCTTGCTTGATCTGTGTGTCAACTTCAAAATCACGGCTTAGAGTGGGAAGAGTTAGGCAATCATACCACTCATTGACTTTCTGTACTGGGATTTTGTACTTCATCAGGCAGCAAAATTTTTGCAAGGGTAAGCTCTGCCTCACAACTGTTACATATGGAGAGGACTTTAACTTCTAAAGTTGTCGTTTGAATATCTCAGAAACTTCTATATGCACTGTCTGCTTTGTGGGGACACAAAGCCATGTTTATATAAAAAATGTGAAAAAGTGCTGCGATATAAGTTGAGGTACGGTGTATTTTTCCCCCTGCCCAGTCATTTGTTACTTTTACTGCTTTGTATCGCACAGGAATTCGCTCAGCTAATGTGTCCTGAAGTCCTAAAGAGTCCCTGTTTTCAAGGTAGCAGATTAATGCAATCAAATACTATAAAGAATATATCTTCACATCAAATGATCAGTGTAGACCCAATCTTTTTCAGGGTGTTAGATTTTAATTGTTCAGTTTAGTTTGGTTCTTGATTAGTATCTTTTGTCACATACTCTACTTAAGATCTGAACAGTAGAATGAGTATTTTCTTAGTAGGCATTTATAAATTGCTTACTATATTTTTATTTTAAATATCGCAAGTTTTAATCTGCTTCCTTTGTGGCACAGCTGAACTGCTGTGTCTCCATGTTCTTCTCATGAACTCCCATGAACGCCTTACGGTCCTAAAACTTCAATTTTTAGGCAGCTGGTAATGCTCGTTTGTCTTGTTCCCCCACTAGATGGCACTAAATGATTGCCTATTACTTATTTGGCAGCTGCTGTGAAGCCGGTTGTGGCAGGTTTAGTAATGCATTCTCACTAACAAGCACAGTGAAAGATCTCGATATCACAAAGTGCAGTTCATACTAAATTCAGATGCGGAGCAGGCGCAATTGTCTCGGTTCCCTTTCAGTTACGCTGCATGCCTCTCATTTCGTTAGTCCTGAAACACCAAAAGTTGCTGCTTTTAATTCACGTGATCTTGCTAGGTATAAATCATGTGTTACATGAATACAGCCTTGAGAGGCTGTATTCAGCTCTTACAGGATGCAGAAAGAGGAGACTAATTAGTAAAGTAGTAAGGCTTTCCTAACTACAACCGCAACAACACATTGCCATGCTCTCTGGCTTACTAAACTGTGGTGAAGGATGTTATAATGGAATATATTGATACAACTAATTTCCATTAATTACGACAACATTTTTAGACTATTGATTAGATATCCTGCACAGCTACTGCAAGTTTCCCCCTTGATGGTTAGAATAAAGTTTGCACACTGAAAGAGAGGTTGTCATGCTGCGTGGCCCATCCGGCCCTTGGGGGTGAGATACAGACACACTGAGAAAACGGCATGTGTGGTAAACAACGTGGCAGTTGCCGTAGACGTAGGTCCAAATGCAGCACAACTAAGAAATAACGTGCTCAGAGGGCACCCTTAGGTAAAGTGTAAATAAATATGCACTGAAAAAACAAGCTGATATTTCAAAGTTGTTTCAACAAATTCACAAATATGTTTGCTTAGTCGCATGCTTTAATCATTTGCTCCAGACTTTCTACTCACATAGGTGCTAGACTGAGGCCAGGTCCCTTTGTTTATAAAGGCTGAATGCTTTGAAGAGGACACATTCAAGGTATGAACTATTGTTCTCTTCTGTAATGCTGTAGGCTCTGCTGGTAGCAATATGTCAGCGATCAGAACCTCTACAAAGTGATTTATTTACATGAGTGTGCATCATTTTTTTTGACTTTTCAAGGACAATTTTGACGCCCTGCTGCTAGCAGAGAATTTGTAGCTGGGCAGACATTCTCCACCCACTTTAGAAGTAGCGAGGCTAAGAGGACATCAACCTTCAAGTGAAAACCTTTTAAATCTTGAACAGCAGGTTCTTATTTTGAGTCTGACTCTAACATCTCGTTTACAGAAAGACATTTTGTGAGCCAGCCGATCATAGATGACTTTTTGGCCCCAAATCTTCACAGCTCAGGGCAGGTTTCCAGCCTCGCAGGAGTGGGTGGTGGCATTTTGGTCAGATGAACGAAGCCAGGTGGGTTGTTGCTTCTCCCGAGCGAGCGTAGGGAGCAGTCACCAGCTGGGAGCGGGCAGAGAGGTGCAGGTGACTGTGATTAACAGTGTTTTCTCCCCCAAACCTCCACCAAGAAGTGGAGGAGCTTCTGCTGCTGCTCTTCTTGTACCTGGTGGCTCCTCCACAGCACGTCCATCCATCTGCCCGAGGCAGTGGCGAGGGGCGCCTGGGGAGCGACGGGTGGAGAGGCTGCACCCGGGGGAGCAGTGGCTCACCGCTGCAGGGGGGCAAACGGCAGGAACAAGGTGAGTTTCTTCTTCTGTTGGGGCCGAGCACCTGTGTTGCAGGGGCTGGCAAGGGCACGAGTTGAGAAGTGGTTTTGCTGAGATCTGGGATGTGGGAGGATCTTCACTGCGAGCTACAAGCAGCGGAAGTTGAAGGGGCTTTGAGGAGATGGAGTGTGGCAGGGGCCTTACCTCTTTACGTTAGAAAACAGCAGCTGCGCTGTTACTGAGGCTTTGGGTGAGAACCAGCTTGTTGGATTTCAGGTGTTCTGCCCTAAACAGAGGGAGG